GGTCTTGGTTTCACCGGAGCATCTCTTGAACTTGGCTTCTTGGCCGGCATTCCCTTCTTGTTATTGGGAGTTGGATTCTTGGCCTTTTTGGCATTCCAGTCACCATTGTTTGAATGTGACCTTGAAGGATTTCTTTTGAAAGATCTCCCTCTTGTCGCATTCATCCAACCTTGTGCATAGTAGGGAACGTATGCGCGATTTGAACAATTTCTGGCAATGTGATCTGAAGTCCCACAGTTAAAACAAGTCTGTCTTTTCACATAGATGAGATTATGACTTGGTCCTTATCCAAAAGAATTCTGTTTCAAGGGACTTCCACAGGCACTTTAACAGATTGTTTAACAGAATTTTGTGGCTTGGGTTTTTCCACAGTGGGAGTATCATCGTCACAAGCTTTTGAAACACTTTCAGCAGACTCATAATTGATTTTGATCTGCTCACTCCCATCTTGCACTGCTTTTTTATCTCCACATGAAGTAGAAGCGTTAGAATTGTTAACCTTATCACAAGTTTTTGAATCTTTTTCAACAAAACAAGAGGTATTTGTGTTCTGCTCATGCCCATCATGCACTTTGACCTACTCTGCACATGAGGTAGAAGCATTAGTATCATTCACTTCAATATTCTCAATTGGACCAAATTGTTCATTCTTAACTGAAGCTGGCACAGGAGGCTGGCCATACTGAGCATGTAACTCTACCCCATTGGTTTCAAGGGGCGGGGTATAGTTATCATTGAAGGGAGGTGGAACATTGTGATATCCTAGACCCGTATTCTGATTATCTTTGAATTTTAACTATTTTTCTATCATTGTCTCAACCTTTTTACTTGACACAACAAATTTTTTTAAATTAAAGTTTGCATTTTCAAACTTATTTTTTAATGTGTTAAGCTCGACAGTTAGACTGACAATCATTTCTTGAGCATAGTTATAATGTACACATTTATCGCTATATTTTGCTTGAAATTTTCTAAACTCTTTGATTTTGGCCTCTAATTGATTTTTAATGGCTTTTGTTCCTTTCTGATAGTATATCGTTCATATTTAAGGTCATCAATTTCCCTAGTTAATAATTTATGTTTAAGATTTAATTTTAGCTTCACAGGACCGAGAGCATTAAGCGTTATTAACCTTGGTGATTGAAGAACTCATTATTCACCAAAAAGAATAATTTACCAAAAATAGATCTGATTATGAAGCCAAGAAAAAAAAACCCTTTGATCTGAAACCTCGAAAGTCAAACTTGAAAGTCAAAAGTTGAAAGTCAAACTTGAAAATTAAAATTGAAAACTTGAAAGTCAAACGAGAAAGTTAAAATTAAAGGTCAAAGGTCAAACTTGAAAATAAAAGTCAACTTTGAAAGTCAAAGGTGAAAGTCAAAATTCTTTGTCCAAAAAGAATAACCTTGACCAAAAACAAAAGTTTCTAAACCGAAAACAGAAATTTCTAGACTAAAACCGAGAATATTTGACTACACAACGAGAGTCTTTGACCAAAAACGGGTCTTTTTGATCAAATATGAGGCCTAAGGACCAAAAATGAAATTATTGGATAAAAAATATGGCAATTTGACCAAAAATAAACCAAAATATGGAAATTCTAAATTTTAGGCCAAGATTGCGAGAGCTTAGTGACCGAATTCGAGAACAGTGGAGTGAGATCCGAAGCCGAGAACACGAACCGGAATCTGAGAAGAGAACCGAACACTTTCGACCAAGATCTGAAGTCGCGGAACCGAACACGTGCGAGTCCGAAGTGTTCGGACCGAGAACCTTTGCTGACCGAAGACCGAAGTTGTAGACTGAGAACCTGCGAGGCACGTCCGAGATTTCTGAGGCTGAACCACATTCACTATTGTTTGACCGAATCCGCAGGTTTTGCTACTGTTTCGCAAATTTTGGCAAAAAATCACCCAAAACTTGCCAAAAACACGGGATTTTCAATATTTTAATGCCAAACTCGATCTAAACTCCTAAAATATGAAGAACACAAAGAACAATGGCCAAAAATTTGTCAAAAATAAATTAAAAACACCAAGAATTTCCAAGAAAAACTCTTAAAAATATCTTGCAATGATCCGATTGATACCAATCCAAGCTCTGATACCACTTGTAAGTCCCGAATTCTCCTACAAATCAATCGGATTCACTTTGATGGTGCGGAATCTCAATCAAAGTGTATAATGCAAGATAAAGATGAAATAAGAACACAAATAGTTCATCTTCAATGCACACTATTAGATTGAATAGTCGGGTACATAAGATTCACTGTTACACACTGTTATCTCTTGGTTCTCTCCAAAAACATGTTCTAAGCAATATGGCAGCCCCTAGAACGTCCCTTGCTCCAATCTAACTAATTTTCAAGCCTAAATAACACTATATATACATAGGCCTAATAACCAAGCCCAAGCCCAAAACCTAAACAAAACAATATAAAGTCTAACCGAAATCACACATGATTTCAGTCCAATTACAAGGAACTCAAGGGGATTTCGGCCCTAGACCGAAAACCATAAAGGCTTAGAAAAGCAAAGTATAAAACATGAATTATGACCTAACACTTACGGTTTCAATTTATTGTTTAAGGTGTTTCAGATGCATTGGAAAAGCGAATGCATGATCGTACACTTCCTCGCGTTTTGGACTTATGATTTATGGGATACTCTGATAATGTTATTGTTTTGAAAACCATGAGTAAAATGATTCTGATTTTAAATAAAGGTTTTGGAAATAACGGTTTTGTAAACACTTCTATAGAAAAATGATTGTTTTGAAAAGTTTAAATTTTACTGGAATTTTATGGATGTTACATAAGTCCTTCATCTCGAACTCACTGGCTAGTTGCTTCTTTAGCTTGTTGATTTGCTGCATGTTGGATCCAACAATTAACATATCATCAACATATAACAATATGATGATATAAGAGGACTTGAATTTCCTCATTGGTTTTGTGTTTGGTTCCTCGTATTTCCATTTTTCGGTTCTTAGTGCTACCCGGTTTGGTGTCTGTAAATTTGGATAAAAATTACCAAACCAGACCATATTACAACCCTCATAACTCTTTCGTACAAGCTTCAAATAAGCTTATTTTATTCTTGGGTTTTCTTCTCTGTCTTGACTATATGTTAAGATCAAGAAGCTACTAATTTCAATAAATATAACCTAGATTATATAGCTCTAAACATGGGTACTTGAAAACTAAAATTTTCTTAATGATTATGTGCACAATTTCCCTCATGTTTTTACTTACTATTAAATAATATATAATTTTCCTCTGTGGACACTCACAACTCTCTTATGTGAACACAAATAAGATTTTTATTTATTTATTTATTTATTTATTTATTATTATTATTATTATTATTATTATTATTATTATTATTTGTGCATTTTCTTCATTGTCTTCGTTACATGTTAGACTCAAGAATCAACCGATTCGGATAATATAGCTTGAGTTACATACTCATAAATATGGGTATTTGAAAACTTAAATTTTCCTGACTTTGTCATTTTTTTTCTTACTAGACATGTATATAATTTTTCCTCAACTTTGAACGTTCATAGCTCTCTAATATGTACTCGGATTTTGGGCTTATTTTTTTATATGCGTTGTTTGTTGTTTTAACCTCATCTCATATCAAGAACATTCTATTTTGTTAAACTCGAGCACCCAGTTCTATAATTGCAAACAGAAAATCGATACTAAAATAAGAATGTACTGAATTACTCGAATCAGAATCAAACCAGTGTCATATAGTACATATCGGTTCGATATGCAATCCATAATTCGGTGTTGGTATTTTCAAGTTCGATACAGGATCAATATGGTTCCGGTACCGAGCTCAACCATATTTCTCATATACACCTTTACATAAATAAAAGTTACAATTTCCACCAACAACTATTATCTTCTAACTTTCTAACTATAAGTTAATTTTACCAAAAAAATATCCTTATATCCGCAACTGGTTCACGAAATTACCCTCGAAGGGATAATTGCTTAGGGCAAGTTGTGGAAACCCACTACATATGCCACGCCATTGACCTACAAAAAGATAAGTTGCCGGCCATTTTCATAAAATAAAGTAAGTAGGAAAAAAAAAAATGCTCTTTTCTCCTTCCTACACGTTTAGTTTCTTTAGGTGTGAATAAAATAATTTTTGCTATATAATACTTACAAGTTATAGCGAGTCAAAAAAGAAAAAGAAAAAAACAATGAAGTTATGATAATAAAAATAAAACATGTCAAATGATATTTGGTGTATTTTTATGCATTTACAAATTTCTAACTATTTCATTTATGTGAGAACAACTTAGTTTAAGCTATAATTTTTTTTTAAGGCTGTATAAACTATAAACCAATGATATCAAACTGGCCCTTCCTCTACTCTATTTACTATGTTTATTTTCTTTTTAAACCCAAGTATTTAATAAACAGTTTTATTCCGAAAGATAAAAATAAAACTGAATACACAACTAATTACACGTCAATCAACGAGGTAACGTTTTGCCCCGAAGACAAACTACTTTTTGTTACGGAATATGAGCCACTTCATGGAATAGTGGAGTGCAAGAATTTCCACTAAGGACCACTAAAATCATCATCCACGTAAAATACAACTTGACCATAAAGCTGTTGTTCTCATGACACAATTATTGGTCATTTAAAATTATCTTGAAATTCAATTCCCACACCTTTATTAACAAATAATTACTAAAAAGTACACGGATTTTGCTATAAAAACAATATAAAATTTCGAGTTTCCTGGAATCCGCTATTTGATAATACAAGTCAAAGAGAGCTGTATTTATCTTAGTATTAACAACAAAAATGATATAAACAATGTAACATTGTGAAGAAAAGTAAGACAATGTTAATTGTTAAGTGTCCCGTGTCCCTCTTCATTTATAACCCAAACACCCTCTTCATCAGGCAACTTCTCAAAAACAACAAATTTATGAATCAAAACACCAAATTTGAAACTTGAGAGCAAAACATGACTTCGCCTTGCATCAAGGAAGTCTCTAGAGCCTGTTTCAGACGTTGCTGCCCCACTCAAGTACTCGGGCTGCCCGAGAAACAGAATCCCGAACAAGGGATTTCACCTTCCAGGTATGATTTCATTGCTGCAACAGCCTTTTCGCTTCCTCCAAATGCTCAATTCACTAACCATGAATCATTACCCGACCTCGAACGATCGTTTTCCACCATGAAAAAAGCTTACCCTCACTACCCGGAGACTGACCGAGCTGACCGAATCCGGAGTCACGAATTCTATCACCTCTCCAACAATAACCATGTATGTCTTGATTACATTGGTCATGGGTTGTTTTCGTATTCGCAACAGTTACATTCCAACGCGCCTTTTTTTAACATTATATACAAATCAGTGAATTTGTATGCACAGATTACGCATGGTGGTCAAGAACAGGAATTTGAATCGGTTATTAAAGAAAGGATTTTTAGGTTTATGAATATTTCATCGGATGATTACTCTTTGGTTTTTACAGCTAACCAGTCATCGGCATTCAAAGTGTTGGCAGATAATTACCCTTTTCATACAAATCGTAATCTCTTGACTGTATATGACCATGAAAACGAAGCTGTGGAAACCATGATTGAGAGTTGTAAGAAAAGGTCAGGGCGAGTTGACTCGGCCCTGTTCTCGTGGCCTAACATGAGAATCCAATCGAAACGACTCAGAAAATCGGTTTCGGTTGCGGATAAAAACAAAAAGAAAAAGAAAAAAAAGGGACTTTTCGTTTTCCCGCTTCAATCTAAAGTTACGGGAACTCGATACTCGTATCTATGGATGAGTTTAGCTCAAGAAAACGGGTGGCATGTTTGTCTTGATGCCAATGCATTTGGAGCAAAAGACATGGAGACATTAGGACTCTCTCTTTTCCACCCAGATTTCTTAATCTGTTCATTTTACAAGATTTTTGGAGAAAACCCATCTGGATTCGGGTGTCTTTTTGTTAAAAAAGCAAGATCAACGATTCTCAATAACTCATCTACAACCACAGGATTGGTTAACATTGTTCAAGCTTCTAACCGACCTCTGTTTCTCCAACAATCCGGGAGTCTCAATACAACCGGAAAACGAGAAGACATAGCCATGGCAAGCTCAAGCTCCAGCTCCAGTTCATCACTCTCCAATCAAGAAACCTTCGAAATACAAGAAATCAAAGAAATTAATAAAGAAAAGACGGAATTGTCCTTTTCCGAACTCTTGAAATTAGACAAATCTGTCGACAAAAACGAAGCAAGCACCAGTGGGGTTACCTCAGATATCGAGTTTCGAGGGTTAGATCATGCAGACTCGTTAGGTTTGATATTGATAAGTACGAGGGTAAGGTACCTGGTCAACTGGCTGGTCAATGCATTCGGTAGTCTTCATCATCCACATTCGGAAGAAGGGGTGCCTTTGGTTAGGGTTTATGGGCCAAAAGTGAGGGTGGATCGAGGTCCTGTGGTGGCTTTTAATGTGTTTGATTGGAAAGGTGAAAAGGTTGAGCCTACACTCGTGCAGAAGTTAGCAGATAGACATAACATTTCTCTTAGTTATGCGACTTTAAAACATGTTAGTTTTGTGGACAAGAATTGTGAAGAAAAGGAACGATTAGTAGAGGTAAAGAACATTGAGAATGAAGGGCGTAATAGCCCGATGAACAAAAGGAAAGAGAAGATAGAGATAGGGATACCTGTGATCATGGCTACAGTTGGGTTTTTGACAAATTTTGAAGATGTTTATAGAGTGTGGGTGTTTGTTTCAAGGTTCTTGGATGCAGATTTTGTGGAGAAAGAAAGGTGGAGATATATGGCGCTTAATCGGACAACTGTTGAGGTTTAGATTTGAAGGTCAAAGATTTCATTTCAATAATTTTAATTCATCATTCAATTATTCATCTGTTCATAGAATTTCCGAAACATGAATATTTGTCAAATGGGATCTCTCATTTGTAGCATCCGTGATGCAAGTAGGAATTCAAGAATCAATAAGCTAAATAAACTGCAAAGCATTTTATAATTCTCCTGCTGTGTTGTTCAGAGTTTATCTTTTCTACATGTCCATTCACGAATTCGTTCATACGACCTACATAGTGTTCTATCAGTGATGCTAAGCCCTAAAAACGTTTGAGGATCACAAATTGATCAAGAACTAAACCTATAAAAGCAAGTACCAAAGGTAAATATAAGAAGTTAGTGAATCAAGGGTCAAACGCCTCTTGTATTATTTAAACCGATATATGAAATGAAATTATCTTTTATTTATGACTTTAAATAGAGAAATCTTCAATAAATCTCAATTTTTCGGGTCAGTTTACGGTTCAGTCAAAACTTTTATTATTTGAACACAGAAAAGTTCGATTTTTTTATATTTAGCTCAAATTAACAAACAGTCTTTATATTTTTTAATAGAAAATAACAAATTATCATATAGAATTAGATGATCGGAACTTTTCTATTAAAAAAAATAAATGTTGGGACTAAACCGTAAACTGACCCAAAATATTATGATTTTATCGGAATTTCCCTTTTAAATATAATGAGAAAAACAAAACTGAAACTCAAAAATTAAAATGCTAGTTATTTTTTTTTTTTCGTTAAGTTCAGTTTTAACTGAAAAACCATCCAAAAAAATACAAGTCATACACGTTTATATGTACCTATATCATTTATGTAAACAAGTCAAATACACTGTACATGCACTATTCATATAAATAAGGCAAAGATGATAAATTGTCCATGGACTATTTTTATCGATAAGGAAAAGTTGCGGTCCATTGACATTTTTTGTAAAAACCACAAAGGATCTAACTTTTATTTTAAAGCTAAACCGAATCAAACAGTCAAAACTGAGAAATAAAAAAAAAAATGTGACAGTTTCTAAAATTAAAAAAATGAGAAACTGTATATGGAAAATCAACACGTTAATATCATTTGCATTTGATACGTTTGGTTTTTTTACACCGGATACGGTGAAGCTTTTTAGTAGAGTACAACGGATTATGAATAGCAATGTTATATCCCCTAGATCTATGGATGTAGTCTTCAAAAGAATTGACTATACCATACAAAAAGGATTAGCAACGCAACTTATTGTATGTTTGCATTCTCATTCGTTGTACGATGATAACTAAGATATAAAGCTTAATCATTAAAAAGTTAAATATATTCATAGTTTCATTTAAAAAACCAAAATTCCGATTTTGTGTTTGGTTCGGCCAAAAATCGCATAGCACTTGCCCTTACTTTCAATAAAGCTCTATTTGGTTCTACATCAGAGATATTCAAATCATCGGTTTTACATCAAAATGTATTTCGGTTTCTATAACGTTTTTGAGTTTTTTGTATGTTAGTGTTTTGTTTCGTCTTCAAATATTGGAGTCTGAAGTGCTACTGTTTAATGTTTCAACTGAAAATTGTTATATACATTTCCATGCGCCTTACTTCCATAGGGTTTAAACCAAAAAATGTAGTTTTTAGTTGTTTTCCCCAAATGGTAGCATCATGGAGTATCATTACCAACAAGTTTTTCGTATTTTGGATTTCGAACATGTTTAACTTGTTTATATCTTTGGATTTCGATTTTCTTAGTAACATGTATTACTCGTTTATTTCTCTTTTTAGCTAATACTAGTCATTAAATACTGGAAAATTAGTATAAAAAAGACGATGGTTACTGGGAATGAATCTAAAAGAGTAACGTGCTAATGAAACTTTTTAAAATTTTCTGGATTTTAAACCTAATACGATCTGTAAGAAACCTAAGCAAGAAATTAGGTTTTAGTGTAAAATGTGTCTCAATAAAGCTACTAATAACGCATTTAAACCCAATGGCCAATAACTTTCCTGTTAGGATTTTGTGTAAAATGTATGTCCATAATGGCTCTTAGAACACATTATTGATCCATCATTTAATGAAGGTCTAGGGTTTATGTTTTAGAGTGTATGATATTTGATAGGGCTTAGGGTTTGTGTTTGAGTGTATTGTATTTCGTTATATATAAAAGAAAAAAAATTGTTTGGTTTTCCATATTTATTTTTATCGTATCATGTCTTCTTTAAACGAATGCTATGGATTTTGACTTTCTATGATGTTTCTAATTTCGGGATAAAAGGCCATAATTTGATCGATTAAAGGTATTGGGCTTCAAAGGAATATAGTTTAGACCATATCGGATATTTATAATGTTGGTTAAGTGATTAAAGCCCTCGATTTATGCTTTAAAACAAAGGCTAAAATTGGAAAGGTGATATTTTGGGCTTATTGCATGAATTAATGATTTTATTCGGTATGTTTGAGTCAAAATAATTAGATAAAATTATGGGGCCCATCAATATATTTTCATGCATATAAAGATCACCAAAAACGGAATTGAAATGAAGAAGTTTTTGCTGTTTGAAATTGAAGTGGATTTTGGGAAAAACGAGTGCACCATGGCGTGGAGCGTTGTACAACCCAAGCTCATTAAATTAGGGGTTGGCTTGTATTAATTTAAGGACTTCAACCCCTTGTTTTATGTCATTTTCCAGCCTCCATTGCACCAAGAAACCCTCTTTTTAGCAAACCCTAGCCTCCCTTCATAGATTTATCCCATCCCCTCTCCTTGGACCTCTTTTGGGAGCTTTTGGTGGTGATTTGATGAATTTTGAAGGTCAAGAAAGTTATTTTGGTTGCAAGGATTGTTGTTTCAAGTTTGGATACATCAAAGACACTCCATTTGTAACGACCCAAATTTTCACGTCCAAAAATTTCATTTTTGATTAAGTGATTTACAAAACATTTGTAACAAAATATCATCCGATCATATCATTTTAGACGACGCGTAAAAGCACGTCGTCTCTCTTTATGACAGGGCCTTCCTTGACGCGCATTTGCGCATCGTCTGAGCCTTTTACGATGCGCAATGAGCGTCGTAAAAGGTTGTCTTTCTAGTAGTGACGGGCCATAACTTCTGCGTTATAACTCGGATTTCGGCGCTCTTTATATGTATGGACCCTTTGTAACATATACTACAGAAATTGGAGCAAGTGCATTGGAACCATACCATAAAGGGTACGGATCTGACCGCCTACATTACCAAGTTTAACGACTTGGCAGTTCTGTGCCCTGGGATGGTTACCCTGGAAGCCAAGAAGGTGGAACGCTACATCTAGGGACTATCCCCCCAGATTCAAGGAATGGTCATATCTATCAACCCAACCACCTACGCTAGTGCCAAAGGTTTGGCACAAACTCATGTCGACCCGCAAGTCCGCTATGGAATTATGGCCCCCACACCTGAGCAACCAAAAAAGGGAGATAACAAGCGAAAGTTTAGGAATAAGAAGAAGCTCTAGCTGACTCAAGAGCCTGCCAAAAGTCAAAAAATTATGGATGTCCATGCCGCCACTGTCCCTGTTGCCCTAGCGCCGACTAAACAATATGTTGGGAACCTATCTAAGTGCAACTTACATCATAATGGAGCATGTCGAGAGTTGCACTGCAACAACTGCGACAAGAAGGGGGATACCGCTCATTTCTGCAAGGTGCCATCTCAACAGGCCACCCAAGCCGCCAATACTGGGGTGAGTCAAGAGAGTTACGGATGTGGGGAGACAGGACATTTCAAAAAGGAGTGCCCAAAGACAAAGAACAAGAATGTCGGGGGCGTAGGAAGGGTCTTGACAATGGGACACAAGGAAGCAATGAAGGACCCCCGCTGTGGTTACTGGTATGGTTCTCATCAATAACTCATATGAATGCATACTTTTCGATAGTGGTGCATAGAGGAGTTTTGTAAGAAACAAGTTTAAGCACATACTCAAACAAAAACCTCAAACACTCACTGAAATATTCATAGTAGAAATGGAAAATGGAAAAACTGAAAACGCCAAAGACATATACATAGGATGCGTCCTAACTCTAAAGAATCACTCTTCCAAATCGACATAATGCCTGTTACAATAGGAAGTTTTGATGTGATTAATTTCATGGATTGGTTGAGCTCTCACTATGCCGAATTCATGTGTCACAAAAGAGCTGTCTGAATTAGCTTACCGAATAATGAAACCATTTTCATCCATGGTGACAAACATGACACAAACCTCCAAATCGTCTCTTGCATCAAGGCTCAAAAGTACCTATGCAAGAAGTACCACGCATTCCTAGGTCACGTTGGTGATGAGAAGAGAGAAGTGAAAGACATCAAGGATATTCCAGAAGTCTGCAACTTTCCCGACATATTCCCAGAAGACCTTCCGGGAGTACCACCCATGCAGCAAGTCGAGTTCGGAATCAACTTGATTCCTAGAGCCACTCCCATAGCTGAATCACCATATCGATTAGCCACGGATGAAATGCAGGAATTTTCCAGTCAGCTGAACGAACTGCTAAGTAAAGGATTCATCAGACCAAGTTTCTCACCTTAGGGAGTATTGGTCTTGTTCGTAAAGAAGAAAGACGGATCATCCGTATGCGCATTGACTATTGAGAGTTGAACAAACTCACTATCAAGAATAGGTATCCCCTACTTGAATTGACGACCTGTTCGACCAACTCCAGTGATCGAGCTACTTTTTCAAAATCGATCTAAGGTCAGGGCACCATCAACTTAGAATCCAGGAGGAAGATATCCCTAAGACGGTGTTTAGGACTCGTTACGGCCATTACGAGTTTGTTGTGATGCCCCTTGTACTGACTAATTGTAACACCCCGACTCCCAGGTATAAGTTTTAAAGCATTATTTACATTTCTATGGCCCTACTCGACGATTTGGTTACCCCAAATCGTCGTGTAGAGGCGGGTTAGCCCGCATGGATTATTGAACCTACTCGACGAGTTGGAGGACACTGACTCGACAAGTA